CAAAAGGGTTCAACTATTTCTCCACAATTTCAGTTTACAAGAGCTGTTCCAGAAACCACAGACGACACAATGCTAAAGTATGTTGTCAAGACATTCAATCAGGAAATAGAGTTCTATTGAGAGCCTTGGTATTCAAGGGGCTCGGGAGCTCATCAGCAGATGGAAAGCTAATGCGTCTGCAGCAGTTGAAGGGCTGGGCAACTTGTCTGAACATGGAATAGCCCCAGAGAGTAGAGGGGGCCCTATCTAGATAATTCATCACAGGAGTTAGTTGGACTTTCTGTTGAAGAGGTAGAGAGAGTGATGAACATTGACCTCAACAGACAGTGGGAAAATGCTCCAGTTGTGCAAAGACTTTCTGAACCAGATATGGCCTCTGACAGTGGAGGGGATATTCTTTGAGACACTAGGAAAACAATCCTTATTCTTGGAAATGTTGATGCTTATTTTTGTGGTTGCACAGGTATAGCTTCTAAACATATCCTGTCTCCATTTTTGCAAGGGACTGCAAGATTTCTGGCACAGGCAAGGAATGTTGCTTTGCCTGGAATGGTCCTATCCTAAAGTCTGGTCCTATATTGAGAAAGCCATAAAGATTCAGTTACTTTCCCAGGATCACACCGGCTTCTGTGATTATTTGTGAAGAGAAAGGCGTCAGAAGATGACAAGAGACATAGTGTGGTATGTGGGCATGTCCTTTATCTTTGGGACAATGTGGAGAGATGCTGGTGCCCAGGTGACCCAGGTCCTTCATTGAAAGAGACTATGACCAGCACCTGATGATGTGGGCTGGTACAGTGGCCAAATACAATGGGGGCAACTAGGTGGTGCAGTGGATAAAGCACCAGCCCTGGAGTAAGAAGGACCTGAGTTCAAATTCAGCCTCAGATATTTGCCCCTTACTAGTGACCCTGCGCAAATCACTTAACCCTGATTGCCTCACCAAAAAAAAAAAAAAAAAAAAATTACAATGAGGTACCAGGGAGGAAGTCACTCTGTGTTTCTGTCTCTCCTGTTCTAGAAATGCCTTTTCCCACCTTTGTAGTCAAAAGTGTTTAACATTGACTGTAGTATTCCCAGTGGACTGTGTTGGCCAGTGCTTCTTACTCGCCTTGCCTTTGTACATCTGTCCCTTATGCTGTTGGATTATCCTCTGCTAAATTGAAAAAAAAAAACCACACATTTTTATCTCATTTATCTTGGTTTGTGTGATTCTATTTGGCCAATAGAAGTGGGAGCCAACACAATCTGCTAGCACTGCTACAGACTGAACTATTGTGGGGGCAGGTACCAGGCAGGAAATTGGCTAAACAATAGCCTTTCCCCAGAAACTCCCCAAGTGGGTAGAGCCACCTGCAGCACTCTTCCAAGCCAGCCCAAGGTGACCAGCAGGAGAAACAAAAGCAAAGAGGGAAATTTGGCACACACGAGAGTCGTAATCTTTCCCATTAGACAAGTAGAGAGTTAAGAGAGATAGGAGCGCCCTTTTGGAAGGCTTACACTCCTAGATTCTTCACTTAGAATAAATTTCCCCTAGACTCTTATTATTGGCTAGCCAGAAGCCTAGACTTTAAAGAGAAAGGAGTGTCCTTTCTCTGGGAACCTTTTAGGAAGGCACTCCTGGTTCCCCTTCTTTCCTCTACCCCCTTTCCCTATTCATTGCTATACATTACCCAGTAATCCAGTTACATTTCTTCTACATGGTGTAAATACCAATTACACGTGAAGGGTGACTCCCAGTATACTTCCTTCCCTCACACAAACTATAAGAAAAAACACTCTACTAGGCAATGGAGAAGATCCAAAACTATTAGGGAAAATCACAATAGAAATGGCGGCAGAGGGGTGGGAGAGAGAAGCAGCACGTGCAATGAAATAATTTCACAATAACCACAATGTACAATATACTCTAAGAAGCACATAAGGGAAGTACACAATACTCCATGAATTCTGGAATGAAGCAAAGACCATTTTTGATTATGGTACAGCGGTCAAAGCCCTAGATTTGCAGCCAGAGGACCTGAGTTTGAACCCTGTCTCTACTATTTACTACTTAGGGGTCCTTGGGCCTTAGTTTCTAGTAAAAGGAGGGGTTTGGACCAGATGACCTCTGAGGTCCGTCTTAGCAGTAAAGCCAGGAACGATTAACAGGTATTATTGAATACCTGCTATATATCAGGCGTTGTGCTAGGTGCTGGAGATCACAAAAACTAAAGAGAAACAGAACCTGCCCTCAAGGAGCTTACTTTCTGTCTGGATAGATATCACGTGTGAAAGTAAGTTTATATACAACATATGTGCAAGTCTCCCAATATATATGCAGAAGAAAAACAAAACCAATGCAGGGAGGGGTAGAGAAGGGCAGTAAGAGATGGTGGAATCAGAAAAGGTTTCACTCAATTAACATTTGGAAGGGAAAATAAGCAATCCTAACAGGCGGGTGGAGGTGAGGGTGCATTCCAAGCATGGGGAGCAAAGGTACTGAGCTGGAAGATGAAGCGGGAGGAACAGCGGGAAGTCCACACAGCTAGGCTGGATTGTAGAGAACGTTAAGGGAAATGGTGCCTAATAAGGCTGGGAGGGAAGGTTGGGGTCTAAGTTGTGAAGGTCTTTAAAAGCCAGAGGGACTTAAATCCGATCCCGGAGGCAGCCGTGAGTTACTAGAGTTGATTAAGTTGGGGAAAGGAAACGGGGGTAGCATGCTCAGACCTGCCAGATCACTTTGGCAGCTGTGCGGAGGATGGATCAGAGAGAGGAGACGATCTTATGATTAACCAGTGTCTGAGGTTCTAAATCTAGGAATCAAGGAAAGGCTTCATAGAAAACATAGAGTTTGAGCTGGACCTTTAAGGTAGGATTCCAGAAAATGATGACGGTTTTTCAGGCTTAGGGAAGAGCAGGCCAAGAGGCGGGAAAGTACTGAGGGCCTACAGGAAACATCTAGAAATCCACGCGGGATTGGCATAGAGAGTGTACACGAGAGAGCAGGATGACGGCGTGTAAGCAGAAAGGTGGCAAGGAGTAGGAAGTTCCCTTGGAAGGCAATAGGAAGCCATTGGAGAGTTTTGAACAGAAGAGTTCCATGGCCAGAGTCATGCATAAAGTCTAGCAGCGTGTGAAGGATGAATTGGGTAGGAAAAGGAGAGAAGAAAAGGGGCAGCCAGGTGGCCCAATGGATAGAGTGCTGGGCCTGGAGTCAGGAAGACTGCTCATCCTGAGTTCAAATTTGGCCTCAGATGCTTCCTAGTTGTGTGACCCTGGGCAAGTCACTTAAGTTTGCCTCAGTTTCCTTATCTGTAAAATGAGCTGGAGAAGGAAATGGCAAACACTCCAGTGTCTTTGCCAAGAAAACCCCAAATGGGGTTACAAAGAGTCAGACACAACTGAAAATGACTGAACAACAACCACAGGGGAGAAGACAGAGGACAATTTTGCATAAGGTGGCATTTGAGCTGAGTCTAGAAGAAGGCCAGGGAAACCAAGAGGTAGAGGTGAGGAGGGAAAGCACTCCAGGCACGGGGACAGCCAACAAAAAGCACAGAGTGTCTCGTGGGAGGAATATGAAGGAGGGCAGGGTCCCTGGATCAGACTTTGTGGAAGGGGAGTAAGGTGTGAGAAGATTGTGAAGCTGGCTCCCACAGGTAAGTCCAGGTTACGAAGGGCTTTAAAAGACAAATAGAGGATTTTATATTTGATTCTGGATCAAACATAGGGATCCACTGGAGTGTATTGAATAGGGGGTGACATGGTCAGATCTGTGCTTTAGGAAGAGCACTTTAATGTGTTGCACCTCTAAATGCTTAGCACAATACCTCGAACATAGCGGGTGTTTAATAAATGTTTATTGATTTCAGGATGGATTGCAGTGGGGAGGCGGGGTGATCAGCCAAAAGGTTACTGCAGCAGTCCAGGCACGAGATGATAAGGCTCTGTGGTTATGATAGAATCGTGACTGTGAATAGAGAGAAAGGGACCCGTGTGAGAGATACTGTGAAAGCAGAATAAGCTTTGGCAACGGATCGGACGTGGGCTGAGCGGGAGGAGTGTTAGATGATGCCAAGGTTCCAAACCGTGAACGAAAGGATGGATGTGCCCTCAACAATAACAGGGACCTTCAGTAGGGACACGTCACTGGGGGGAAAGGTACTGGCAGAATTAGGTCCGACGGGTGAAAGTGCTCGCTCCACCACCTGTGCGCCCTTGGACGGTTTTGTTAACCTCTCTGGGTTTCCTCAGCTACAAAATGAAAGGGCAGGACGAGATGGGCTCAAAGGTCTCCTCCTGCCTTAAACCTATCTTCCCTTAAGTGGTAGAGAAACTGATTTCTTCCCGGTATGCAGGCAAATTTTCTCCCTTTTTTAAAAAATGTATTTTATTTTTAATTTTGGAATAAAACAAGTATTTCTATAACATAGCATAATTTTTAAAAGATGATTGTACGTGAAATTGCAAATCAATCATGTACAACTTGCTATTCCTTTTATATATAATAAAGTTATGTAAATTTCTTTTTTTCTTCCCTCCCCCAAAGACTGCTACCATTAGACACAAATATATATGTGTATATATGTATATATGTAAAATCATTCTATACATATTTCTACTTATCAGTATATAATAAAGTTATCATATAAAATTCTTTTTTTTCCTTTTTTCTTTCCTTCTCCCAGAGATTGCTACCATTAGACACAAATATGTATGTGTATATATGTATATATGTAAAATCATTCTATACGTACTTCCATTTTTCAGTTCTTACTCTGGATGCAGATAGCATCTTTCATAGGTCCTTTGTAGTTAATTTGGGTATTTATAATAGTCAAAATGACTTCGTTGCTCAAAGCTGTTCTTAAATATACATATAAGTATACTGGCAAACTTTCTAAAAGCTGTCCTAAGGCAGAATAGACTGCCTGGAGAGGTAGTGAGTCTCCAGTCAACAGAGCTTCACAAGCACAGGCTGGATGGCTGACCATCAGGAATGTGAACAAGGGGCTCACCTCCTCTTCCTGCTCCAAGATTCTGTGATTCTGGGGCTCTGCGGGCAGGTGGGAGAGCAGGGGCTTGGGAGCTGTTGGGGTGAACGTGCTGTGGCAACCTGTTAAGTCCAAATGCTGTGACTCTTTCCATTCACGTCCTCTTCCAGAAGAGGTCCCCAGAGAACAAGCATGGCGCTGACCTGCCTGGACATTTTCAGAGGCTGCATTCTCGCATACCCCTGAGAGAGAGACCGGCACAAAGTCCTCATCTTTAATGCTAAGGGACAATAGGCTCATGTAGGTAAGAGGACACCAGCCCCCCAACCCGGGAAGCCACAGCTGGAGTCTCTAAGAGGTGGAGATTATGTGGGATGGCCGACTTTCCATGGGTCATTTGAAAAATTCAACTGACTGAATATTTATTCTTTTTTAAGTTTTTAAATTTATTTTAAACTTAAATGCAAAATAAGAAAAGAAGAAAACATTGCCATGTCCACAGCAGAACATAAGAGAGGATTCAATACAAAGCAATAAATTTCCATTTCAAGAAAACCTACATAATAAATAGTTATTATATTTTTTCAAAGCTGTCCATCTTTTCTTTCTTGTATGTTTTCTTTTGTCCTCTGCTGTGCATTTTTATTGCATTTTCCCCTTCCAAAGCATTATTTTCAAAGCCGTCCATCTTTGCTTTCTTGTATGTTTTCTTTTGTCCTCTGCTGTGCATTTTTTACTGTATTTTTCCCCTTCTTCTCCCCCCCCCCCCCCCCCCCGCCCCCCCCCAAGGCCACAATTAAATGCCGATTTATATAAATATATATACATACATGTACACAGATATCCGTAAATATACACATACCCACTCAAATACATATATGCACAACTGTATTATGCTTATTTCCACTTGTCATCTGTTTCTCCGAAGGTGGATAGCATCTTTCTTCACAAGTCCAAGTCTTTCCATATTTTTCTAAATTCACCAGCTTATGATTTCCTACACCACAGCAATATTCCAACCCAATCATATTCTATCTGGGAGATTCTCTATGAGAGTTTTTTCCCCCAATTTTCTGCATTCCCTCTATTCTTGGCTATGTGAGTTTTATTTATACAGGAAAATTTTTAATTCAAAATGATCACGATTATCCATTTTTGATAATTTGCTCTCACCTTATAATGTGGTTTAAGTTCTGATACTACTGGATCTAGTTCCTTCACATATTTTTCCCCTGGTTTCTTTGAGTTCCTGACCCTCTGCTCTTCCAGATGTACCCTGTTATTATTTTTTCTGACTCAGTAAAGTAATTTTTAGTAATTTAATTGAGATGGCATTACATAAACAGATTAGTTAGGTAAGATTATAATTTTTTAAAATTATGTTTGCTTTACTTACCCATGCACAATAAGTATTACTTAAGTTATTTAGATCTAACTTTGTATAAAAGGTGTTTTGTGTTTATATTCACACGGTTTCTGTGTCTGTTTTGGCAGGTATATTCTCACATTTTTAATACTGTCTAGTTATTTTACATGCTGAAATTATTTCTTGGTATGACTGACACATAGTGTAGTTTCCCTATTTTTCTCTTTTGATTAAATCTGGTTTTAGCTTTAACTTTGTCTGAGATCATGATTACTATCCCTGCTTTTTTACACAATAAATTCTACTCCTTTCCTATTCTGACACAAATAAAAAAATCCTTTGAGTGTCTGCTATATGTAGGCACTCTGCCCAGTGCTGGTGGAGATACAAAGACTAGCTAAACTTCAGTTCCTTCCCTCATAAAACTCACGGTCTAGGATATGAAATATCAATAAATCAGCAAGCATTATTTATTAATGTTTATGAATTTATTTAATAATTTATTAATATTTATTATTTATTAAATGTCAGCTATGTACCAGGTGCTGTGTGAATTCCTTGAGGTCAGAGACGATTTTTGTTTTTCTTTGAATCCCTAACATTTAATACAGTGAAATTTTGCACTGGAAAATACATGGTATTTGTTACTAAATGTAAATTGTTTAGCGAGGTTCCTGTGACATAACAGATGCTTAATAAATGCATATTGTTTAGCACAGTTCCTGGCACATGACAGACAATTGATAAATGCACATGACTTGGCACACTACCCGGTATATAGCAGACATTTAATAAACGCATATTGTTTAGCACAGTGCCTAGTGCACAGTAGTTGCTTAATAAATGCATATTGATTGGCCAGGTGAAAGACACTTGGAGATACAAAATTAATGAATGAAACAATCTTTACTCTCAAGGTATTTACATTCTATTAGGAGAGGTAACATGTAAATATATAATTATATACAAGATAAGTGAAAAATAAACACAAAATCGTTAAATAGAAGGCAATTTGAGGGGATCTGGAAAGGTTTCGTGTAGAGGCAGTGCTGAATCAGGAGAGGAGAGGGATTCTTTGAGACAGAGGGGAGGAGGGAGTGCATTCCAGGCACGAGGGACAGCCAATGCAAAGGCAGAGAACATGATGTGAGAGGGATAGGGGGAAGGCCAGTTTGACTGGATCCTAGAGTGAAAGAAGGGAAGAGGGGTGCGTGTGTGTGTGTGTGTGTGTTTGTGTGTGTGTACGCACACAGGGATATATGGGGGAGAGTGGTACACTGATGTTAACTGTGCAAATACCAAGTTCTTCCTCCTCTTTTGTAAAATCTAGCATCTATAAAATCATTTAAGAGGACTGGGTACGGACAAAGAGGGATAGATGGAAGCGAGGATGCAGAAGTGGTTAGGACCAAGGGCCCCTGTGGTTGGAGTGTTCCTGGTTTAGAGTCAGCAGGAGGGAAACTCTGTGTCCCACACAGAGACAGCCAGCCTGCCCAGTCAGATTGATAAAGGAGGCCAGACCCAGACTGACAAAGGATAGCTGATGTCTGAAGAAATTCACTGAAAAGAAAGGTTGGTTTCTTACTCTGAACTGTGTTTTCCTTCTTTGTAAGATGGTTGGACCAAACGATGTCCAAGGTTCATTCCCTTTGATATCTCCATTTCTATGGGGTTTTCCTCATAATAGCCTAATGAGGCAGGTAGTACAAATATCATTCCCATTTTGCAGATGAGCAAATTGTGGCTCAGTGATCCGAAGCGATTAAGCGTGCTCATGCATCCAGGAAGAGTTGGGATTTGAAGCACCATTTCCTGACTTCAGTTCCAGGGTTCTCTCCACCACAACGCACAGCCCTTCCAGGTAGATTGGCAACCAACCAAAACAAACAAACAAAAGAAGGCCTAGTAAAAGGTATCCATTAAATAACGGTCCCGGGGACTGCATCTATTAATTGTGCTCTCTCCTGAGTTAGGAGCTAGGGACTCCCGGGGCGTTAGAGTTTAAAGAGACATAGAAGCTGAGACTGCAAGGGAAAAAGGAGGAGACGTAATGAGCACTATAAGGGGTCTAACAGAAGAGAATCCATTAATAAAAAATAAATAAATAAATAAAAAGAAAAGAAGAGAATCCTTTACAGGGTCCTAAACTTATCATTGGCCACAGGCCACTAGTGAAAACATGACCTAGGTGCTAGCCTAGGGCACTAGGGTGGAAAAGCCAACTTTACCACTAAGAAATCCATGAAAGCAAGACTATTTCTTGCATACCTCCGATTAGCAAAATTTGCTCTAAGTAGACCAGCTGGGACAGAGTGCAGGACTAGAGAAAGTCCCAGGGTTAGAACATAGAGATGAAGGGAGGGTCTATCTTTGTGGGGTTATGAGTGTGTGACTGAGGTTAGGGGTCAGGCTGTGGCCAGGATTTGGGATCAGTTTATGACCAACACTAGGGCTCGTTCTCTGAGTGCGTTAGAATAGTCTGGGGTGGGGAGGAGAGGAACAGAATTGTAACCAAGGGAGCAAGTAGGTGGCACAGTGGATAGAGCACCGGTTCTGGAGTCAGGAAGACCTGAGTTCAAATCTGACCTCAGACACATAACACTTACCAGCTGTGTGACTCTAGACAAGTCACTTAACCCCAATTGCTTCACACACAAAAAAAAAGAAGGAAAGAAAGAAAGAAAGAAAAGAATTGTAATTAGGGCAGGACAAACAGGACTTTGTCTTGGTGCTGAAATTTAGAGAGCAATAGTTAGAACTCTTCCTTCTCCAGGTAAAAACAATGTACCAAGTAATCAAGAATAATTAGCTAAAATAGGAAGCTACCACTTAGGTTTTCTCTCACCACCATGCCTGTCTTGTCCCCCTAACCCCAGATGAGTTCCTTCCCTCCCTGTCTTTCCCTGCTCCCAACAGTGGTTTCAGTAATCTGAGTCTCCCATTCCCCTAGCAGGTGCCCTGTCCTAGGGTCTCTATGCTCATAGGACAAACCTTGTGCCCCGGAATCATCTGAGGTCTCTCCCTCCTCAACTGCTTCTCCCACGCTCTGTGTGTGTGGGGGGGGGGCTTCCTATTGCCTCTAGCATAAAATACAAACCCTTCTGCCAAACTTTTAAAGCCCTTCACATGCTGGCCCCAATCCAACTTTCCAGCTACCTAGCCTTAATCACTGAATGCCCACATTGGCTCAGACAAACTGAGACCTAGACGAGACCTTAGCTTAAAAAGACCACCGTCTCCCACTGCATCTGGGGCCATCCCCAGTCTTCCTGATCTGTCTTTCCCAGATGGCTCCAGGGGAGAGAGTGAGGCTGGTGACTTTGCACAGCTCTGCCTCACTTAAATCCAATTCACTTGCATGTCATGGCATCATCTTTCTGATGTGATTGGTCCTCTTTGAGAGCAAAGGATAAAAAACAACTACAACAACAGATATTACTCTCCCTCCCCAAATCAGTAATCCAGCCAAAAGGGCATTTTCTCGGTTCCCTATAAATGATACTCCATCTCTCACCTCTGAACCTTGCATTGGCTGTGCCCCATACCTAGAATTAGTGCTTATGTTACGATCAAAAGACGATGCAGTCTAGGGTGGGGAGGAGAGGGTCACAGATGGAATTAGAGCAGAGCAACCAGGGCTTTATGCTGGGGTACTCATAGAATGGGGCAGCTCGATGGTGCAGTGAATAGAGCACCGGGCCTGGAGTCCGGAAGGCACCTCTTTGTGAGTTCAAATCCTTATTGACTGTGTGACCCTGGGCAAGTCATTTACCCTATTTGCCTCAGTTTCCTCATTTGTAAAAGGAGCTAGAAAAAGAAATGGCAAACCACTCCAGCATCCCCGCCAAGAAAACCTATTATGGGGTCACAGAGTCAGGGATGACTGAAGATCAACTTAACAACACTCATAGAATTCCTTTCTTCTTTTTAAGAC